CTTCTATGACAAAAACGGGTACATTAACAAGACTCTTCTATGACAAAACGGGTACATCAACAAGACTCTTCTATGACAAAAACAGGTACATCAACAAGATCCTTCTATGACAAAAACGGGTACAATAACAAGACTCTTCTATGACAAAACGGGTACATCAACTGGATCCTTCTATGACAAAAACGGGTACATTAACAAGACTCTTCTATGACAAAATGGGTACATCAACAAGACTCTTCTATGACAAAAACAGGTATATCAACAAGATCCTTCTATGACAAAAACGGGTACATTAACAAGACTCTTCTATGACAAAACGGGTACATCAACAAGACTCTTCTATGACAAAAACAGGTACATCAACAAGATCCTTCTATGACAAAAACGGGTACATTAACAAGACTCTTCTATGACAAAACGGGTACATCAACAAGACTCTTCTATGACAAAAACAGGTATATCAACAAGATCCTTCTATGACAAAAACGGGTACATTAACAAGACTCTTCTATGACAAAATGGGTACATCAACAAGACTCTTCTATGACAAAAACAGGTACATCAACAAGATCCTTCTATGACAAAAACGGGTACATTAACAAGACTCTTCTATGACAAAACGGGTACATCAACAAGACTCTTCTATGACAAAAACAGGTACATCAACAAGATCCTTCTATGACAAAAACGGGTACAATAACAAGACTCTTCTATGACAAAAACAGGTACATCAACTGGATCCTTCTATGACAAAAACGGGTACATTAACAAGACTCTTCTATGACAAAATGGGTACATCAACAAGACTCTTCTATGACAAAAACAGGTATATCAACAAGATCCTTCTATGACAAAAACGGGTACATTAACAAGACTCTTCTATGACAAAACGGGTACATCAACAAGACTCTTCTATGACAAAAACAGGTACATCAACAAGATCCTTCTATGACAAAAACAGGTACATCAACAAGATCCTTCTATGACAAAAACGGGTACATCAACAAGATCCTTCTATGACAAAAACGGGTACATTAACAAGACTCTTCTATGACAAAACGGGTACATCAACAAGACTCTTCTATGACAAAAACAGGTACATCAACAAGATCCTTCTATGACAAAAACGGGTACAATACCAAGACTCTTCTATGACAAAACGGGTACATCAACAAGACTCTTCTATGACAAAAACAGGTACATCAACTGGATCCTTCTATGACAAAAACGGGTACATTAACAAGACTCTTCTATGACAAAATGGGTACATCAACAAGACTCTTCTATGACAAAAACAGGTACATCAACAAGATCCTTCTATGACAAAAACGGGTACATTAACAAGACTCTTCTATGACAAAACGGGTACATCAACAAGACTCTTCTATGACAAAAACAGGTACATCAACAAGATCCTTCTATGACAAAAACAGGTACATCAACAAGATCCTTCTATGACAAAAACGGGTACATCAACAAGATCCTTCTATGACAAAAACGGGTACATCAACAAGATCCTTCTATGACAAAAACGGGTACATCAACAAGACTCTTCTATGACAAAAACTGGTAAATCAACCAGATCCTTCTATGTCAAAAACAGGTACATCAACAAGATCCTTCTATGACAAAAACTGGTACATCAACAAGATCCTTCTATGACAAAAACGGGTACATCAACAAGTTCCTTCTATGACAAAAACGGGTACATCAACAAGACTCTTCTATGACAAAAACAGGTACATCAACAATATACTTCTATGACAAAAACAGGTACATCAACAAGATCCTTCTATGACAAAAACAGGTACATCAACAAGATCCTTCTATGACAAAAATGGTTACATCAACAAGATCCTTCTAAGACAAAAACGGGTACATCAACAAGATCCTTCTATGACAAAAACGGGTACATCAACAAGATCCTTTTATGACAAAAACGGGTACATCAACAAGATCCTTCTATGACAAAAACTGGTACATCAACAAGATCCTTCTATGACAAAAACGGGTACATCAACAAGATCCTTCTATGACAAAAACGGGTACATCAACAAGATCCTTCTATGACAAAAACGGGTACATCAACAAGATCCTTCTATGACAAAAACAGGTACATCAACAAGATCCTTCTATGACAAAAACGGTACATCAACAAGATCCTTCTATGACAAAAACAGGTACATCAACAAGATCCTTCTATGACAAAAACGGGTACATCAACAAGATCTTTCTATGACAAAAACGGGTATATCAACAAGATCTTTCTATGACAAAAACGGGTACATCAACAAGACTCTTCTATGACAAAAACGGGTACATCAACAAGACTCTTCTATGACAAAAACGGGTACATCAACAAGATCCTTCTATGACAAAAACGGGTACATCAACAGGACTCTTCTATGACAAAAACGGGTACATCAACACGACTCTTCTATGACAAAAACGGGTACATCAACACGACTCTTCTATGACAAAAACTGGTACATCAACAAGACTCTTCTATGACAAAAACGGGTACATCAACACGACTCTTCTATGACAAAAACTGGTACATCAACAAGACTCTTCAATGACAAAAACGGGTACATCAACAGGACTCTTCTATGACAAAAACGGGTACATCAACACGACTCTTCTATGACAAAAACGGGCACATCAACAAAATTCTTCTGTGTCAAAAACGGGTACATCAACAAGGCTCTTCTATGAAAAAAAAACAGGTGCATCAACAAGACCTCCATGACAAAAACGGGTACATCAACAAGACTCTTCTATGACAAAAACGGGTACATCAACAAGATCCTTCTATGACAAAAACGGGTACATCAACAAGACTCTTCTATGACAAAAACGGGTACATCAACCAGACTCTTCTATGACAAAAACGGGTACATCAACAAAATTATTCTGTGTCAAAAACGGGTACATCAACAAGGCTCTTCTATGAAAAAAAAAAACAAAAGAAAAACAGGTACATCAACAAGACCTCCATGATAAAAAACGGGTACATCAACAAGACTCTTCTGTGCCAAAAAAAAAAAAAGAACGGGTACATCAACAAGACTTCTATGACAAAAATGGGTACATCAACAAGGCTCTTCTATGACAAAACACGTATATCAACAAGGCTCTTCTATGACAAAAACGGGTACATGATATAAACATGTAGTCACAAGAGATTTTTTTTTTTTACAAAAAAAAAAAAAAAAAAAAAAAAAAATTGTACAGCAACAATTTTTTATATTTCGTTGCCGAACTGTGTTTATCTATACAATATGATGGCATATTATATCAACTCCATAAGTTGGTGATGGCTTAGAAGCTTGGGTATTTTCCCTGGATTGTCTAATGTATCCTGGTTGAGACTTGGACACAATCAAGGAGATGCTGGGTTCCTACACTTGTTGGAAATGCCTTGCTTGTAAACTTTAAAGATTTGAGGTGGCTTCCAGTCTTGAACTTAGAAAGTGTTGAATGCTCCTGATATACCTCCGGAATTTCAATGTGTCTATTTATACTATTGTTTTTATTTTTAATTGAGGTTAATGTCTCCAGTCGTAGTCTTTTGTATTTCTTTTGAATGTTTGAGTATATAGCTTTTGGTTCTCGAAGATTGAAATCATGTCCAGTTTTATTTATGTGATGTACTAACTTGTTATCTTTGTTTTTGATATTTCTGTTTTTTTCATTGATCCTTTCTATTATTTGTCTTTCAGTTTCACCTATGTAATAAATCGTCAAATTGCTTACATTTTATTGCGTAAATGGATTACTTATTGAATATGGATGTTTTGTGAAAAAATGTTTTTAGTTATGGGGTCTCTGATCAGAGTTTCAATATTCAGTGTGTTTTCGTATATGGTTTTAATTCTCTATTCTCGTAGGTATCTAGCTATATGAACACTTATAGGTGAATAGGGTATTGTACATATCGTTCTAAAATATTGATTATTGATGTTTGTTGTTGTTTTATAAAAAAGTGCCTCAGTATAAAATATTTTGGGTATCCTGCTTTGGTTAATATGTTTAAGATATTTTGAGTTTCTTTTGTTTTTGAGGCATGGGTAGAACTGTATGAATTCTTTTGGTTAACATTCTTACTGTATTTATTTTATGGCTTAAAGGGCAATGAGTATTGTATATAGTTAGGAGAGTATATAGGTTTGTAGTAGACATCTGCTTGATAGCTATTTTCTAGTCATATTGGAAGAGCCTTATAATTTAATATTAAAGAAATAACCTTTTTAGAAAAACGTATTAAATCACTTCCCTATTTTCCATCTTTAATACATTATAATTGCGTCTGTATCAATATTAAGGTATTATTCTTCCAGGGATGAGTTTATTTATACTTTTATTTTTCCCTTGTGTGAAGAGCCTTATGTTTTCACACCTTCTTTAAATTTGTTAGAAAATTAAATTACAATAAAGAATAAGAAGTGCATCTGTTGCTCAAGGGTAGCGTGGCCGAGCGGTCTAAGGCGCTGGTTTAAGGCACCAGTCTCCTCGGAGGCGTGGGTTCGAATCCCACCGCTGCCAATTTTTTTTATTCAATGAGAAGGTTTCCGAGTCGATATCTGAGCTACCAATCCCAGGCAAGGCATATCAATTTTTACGTTGATTTAGAAGAAAATGACAAAACTAATCTGCATAAGACCCGACATAAGATGTCACAACCTACGATGAGCGATATGACACCCTGAAATACATTAAAACTGTTTCAGGAGCTTCGAATTCTGCAATCTGTAGGACATATCTCGAATGAGAGTAATGCATAGCACAACCTATTCACTTATATTTACATATATTTCTCTATAATACAATATAATGCTGCCTACGATTGTAGAACGACATTTGAAAATTATCCCGCATGTGTTTCTTTTAAACGAAAAATCGAAATTTATTTTGAGGAGAAATAATGATTATTTCTAACCTTAGGGATGAAGTATGTAAGGATGAATTGTGAAGAGTAATGATAAACAGAAAAATAAAAGTGTACAGGGATGGGAATCAAATTCACAGTGTTCTGCTTATTGGGCAGATGCCATGTCCAATAGGCTACCCTGGACATATTATATAAAGTAATTTATAATACAATATAATGTGGCTTATGATTGTAGGACTTTTAATGAAAAGTATATATTTATTTCTCTACTTAACCGAGTAGGTACATCATCATTTGGAAGGTGTAATCCTTTAAAGAGTTTACTAATCAATAAAATAATCCAATATTGAGGTGGAAATATCAAGTCTCCACGGATAGGTTTCTTTTTACACACACACACACAAAAGCCTTTATTAAGACACACAGGTCTTACAGAGGATTCTCCTTGGAGTTACAAAACGGAGAAAGTGGGAAATAAAAATGGTGAAAGAATATATACATATGGTAAATATATACAGATTATAAGAAAGAATAAAGAAATAAGAAGAATTTTAAAAAATAAATAAATAAAATAAAAAAAATTTGGAAATATGGATGGGAGAAGTGGAGAGCGAAAAGAGGAAAGAAAACAGGTATTTACATATGGAACCAGTCAATTTAAGTTTTTCTGCTCACATAGCACAAGTGGACCATGGCTTTTTAAAGAAATCTTCAAGAGATTTTCCAGGAAAATCCGAGTGTTCAGGGTTGTAAGGTAAACACCGTTTTATCAGCGTGGGGTTAACTTATCGTATCTGCCTAAACAAATAATTGGATGTTGGTTCTGTCCTTCTCATCAAACAGAATTTTTTGGTATGCTTGGATAGGTTTCTTTTTAAAATTTTATATTCATAAATCTCTCTTTTTAGTTTTCGGGCATGGAAACCCTTATACAGGAGAAAACACGATACAACGTATCATACGCTGTATGTAGTATCATACATTCCATTCACGAAAGCTAGAGAGAGATTGAGATTGAAACTGATTTATTACAACATTCATATAAGATTATATAAGGTTAAATACAGAATTGAATAAATACGAATAAATAGGATTATATAATGATAAATATAGGAATAAATAGATAAAAATAATTAATAAAAATACATATTTATAAAAATATATACAAAGTCTTCATTGATGGTGCCCACCGCGGGAAAAACTCCGCCACCGATGGACTGCGAGAGTTCTTTCCCACAGAGTGGGCAGGTCGATGAAGTAGCTGAGAGAGAGAGAGATTTGTGAATAAAAAAAATAAATATCCCTGGAGTCTTGATATTTCCACTTTAAAGAGTATATTAATTTCAATTTACCATATATTTGATGGAATAAAATTACTGTAGCATGGCTAGTAAATGGCTCAAATAGAAAAAGAATGACTGTAAAGTATAGTTCCATAGTGTTAACATGGAATGGAATTGTAATATGATGCAATAAACAATATAGGACGGAAATAAACATAAGAAATTTGTCTACATTCAATCTTTGGTTCTAAAAAATCATAGAAATCATTTCAACCAGAAATAAGAATGAACTTCACCATAAGTTCCAGAAAAACAAAGAAATGGAAGTCATGGATAGATTGTTGGAACATGTAGGGAGCTGGCGTGTGAAGACGAAGAAGGTGGAACACCGGAGATAACTTAGAAGCACAGGGATACGACAAACATAGAAGAGATCCAGAAAAACGACCTAGAAAACATGTCAGGAGACCTGACAGACAAGAATGGATCAAGGCCAGTGGACAATTTTATCGAGGAACCACCAGGAGAGGCCATAGAAAGACTGCTGGAGAGCTGCAGGACATCAGGGGACCATATCTACGAGGGCCACAGCACTGACCAGGATTCAAGATAGCAAATGTAAAAATATCTTTGTTTTCTTTTACAGTTATTATTTCGATGTTGAAAATAAGCATATGTAAATACAGACCATTTTATATAAAAGCAAAAGCCGCCTCTCCTGAAAAAATAAAACGTCAAAATCAGACGTTTGCCAAAGCTGGTGGTGTGGCTTTGTCACCGACCCGTGGCCGTTATTTTGCAGTGACGGTCAATAGATAGCGTTTAGTTTTGACGTTTATTTTGACGGGAGAGGCGACCCTTGATTTTATAGATCAATTTCCTCTTGATAAGATTTCCATCTGAATAATTTTCGTTATTTTTGAAAAATGAAAATTGATTATACGTATATTAGACATCATTGTAAAACGACACACTACCTTGAACGTTGGAGCGAGGACGGTCTAATTTTCGGCAGAGAGCTTCGGATGTGAAGTCTTGGGATCAACGAAGATGACAAATAATATAACAACTTTAAAAATAAATTTATTTTTAATTGCTTTGTGGAAAAACACGCTCGGGAAACGTGTATAACATATCAAAGTCGATAACCTTGCAAAACTGCAACCTGGCAATTTATTTTCAAATTTTCAAAACTTAAATACCTATTTCAACAATGATAAAGCTTTTTGTTAAAAATTGTATTACCTTGGCGCGTTTCTTATCTTTTCTTTAATATTTATGTGCGAATTTTAGTATATTTTTATACCTTAAAAAATCATGAAAAATTAATTCTAAACCTTATTTTTAATTAAATACTATTTCTATATGATTTATTTCCTAAGCGAATTATTTAAAAGAAGAACATGATAACCAAAATGTTACTGGATTGATTTAAAAAATTCGAAAATAGTTTAAATGGTCGTTGATAGATGGCGACTCTAGTCCATGAATTGATACTTGATTTTTCGGGATGCTATAGATATTTGAGAACACATTTAGCTAGAGTTTATTTTCTTCAGAATACATCTTCCTCTCTTTCTTTTTTGTTCCTAGTCTGTAATTCTCTTCTATCGATAAAGAGTTCTTTTCCAGGCAAGGAAGGGTTTCCACAAACTTCCTTCATCTCTAGAAGAACTTGAAGAAGCATCAATTAATATTGTTGACTAATCAACTTTTTTAAAGGAAAAAGGGCGACAATGAGTCGTCGAAACGTCAGGATAATAAACTTAAAAAAAAAAAGGTTGATGACTCTACAACTTGATCAAAATCCAACCTACAATTTAAGGTATTACTGAAAATTATAAACGCCACTTTTCTTCTACAAGCTTGTCTCAAAAGTTCGTAAACACTAATTATATATGATATATTTTTAATTAAAAAAGCATATATTGGATCAAAATATCATTTATTTTACCAATATTTCAGTTGGCTGAACGCCAACCTTTATGAAGGTATTATAACATATTAATGCCTTTTATGTTATAACTAGACGAATGGCCCGGGCAACGCCCGGGGTTTACCCGAGTGCGAATATATTTTAAAAACGTTGACTCGGGTGGTCATAGCGCCCGATTTTAAATACGTATTACGATGCTATTTACATTAAAAGTAACCTGTCTATAGCAGCCCCTCTCTATAACACCCTATTTTGGTGAGTCCCAAGAGGGAGCGCTATAGACAGGTTTAACTGTATTTGATAAACAGTGTCAAAGTTTTCTCACCCCTCTCAACAAACAGGAATGATAGTGTTATAAATAGAGAGCGTGTGATCTATTAATTTACATATTATACTAAAATTTCCAATTATATTTGACCATATTTAAACCTGTTATAAAACTTGTATCATTTATGCAACTATACCATCCATATTAATTAATTAATATTAATTTTTATTATAATAATAATTATTATATATATTTATATATATTATATAATAAATATTTTAATAATAATTATTTTAATATTATTTAATATATAAACAGTTTAAAAAATCAAACATAGATGGCGTTACCTCCCCATTGCTTTCATCACCGTCTGGCGGCGCTGCTCGCGAGTTATATCTACAATTCTGCAAATAACTATAAGGATATGCAAGATATTCAAGAAATTATTTTTCGAAAACCTTTCCGGGGATATACCTAATAATATCCCAGAATTTAATGGCGATTGGATGTATGGTTTTTGAATAACAGGGTTGTCTAGAGGGGGGCAGGGAGGCCACGTGTTCGCTGGCGGCCAATGGGAGCGCATTCTATCCGTGAGCTTCAGACAATGCTTCAGACAAAGCTTCAGACAGAATAAGGCAAATATATAAGTAGATACCTTGATAAAGGTTGGCGTTTAGCCAACTGAAATATTGGTAAAATAAATGATATTTTGATATAATATATATGCCTTTTTAATTAAAGATTTATTTATGGATTTCTCTATTTTCAATAAGATATATTGTATATGTGTTTAAGAACTTTTGGGACAATCATATAAAATATATAATTAAAATTTGATTCTACAGTCCCCATATCTTATAATGAATAAAAATTGAAAGAGGGAGGGTATGGCTCATCATTGGTGAGTCCTTCCAGTGTCTTCGTCGGCTTAGTATCCACAATACTATAATTATATTATGCTCCCATTGTTATATGTCTTGAATTTATAAAGTTATACATGATAGGGTTGTTTTAAAGGAACTATGGACAAATACTTATTGGTCTGAAGATATTAGCGATTTAATGCATCAATCAATACTCTTTCCCCCAAACATAAAAATGGCCTTTTAGACAGCATGTCAAATATCATCATTATCACCACAGTATATTTTATTTCTTTAAATTTCTAACCAGGTTTTTCACGCTACTTTTAAAAACCACTCATATACAGATCTTAAGGAAGTTGTACATTTTAGCATGTATATCGAGATTTAGACCATAAATCTGAAAGATATTACAATGACCTTTATTAGAGATATACGAGATAGCCAAGTGTGAACAAAATTGGTTCTGTCTCCTTAAATAAAGATGACCGCGACATTGAAAACTTTTTATTTCCTTAAGTTTTGTCCAAGAGTGTATATACATAGATGAAAATTCGAAACTATAATAGACGCGTATGATTCTTTTAAAAATTAAATAATATCTTTTTTTTTTTTTTTTCTTTAATTAAAATTCACTTTATTAATGGGAGGTCCTGGCTTATCAGTGGTGAACCCTTCCAGCAAAACCGCTGTAGTAAGGGCAATAGAGATTATTTATTTTTTAAAAGAATCATACGCGTCTATAATATTTTCGAATTTTCATAACAGATGGCGCGCTAATGCATCATAATATAAATAGATGAAGACTATTTCTAAAGACCTTTTTATAAC